GTGTGGGAACAACTAAGCGATCCACTTGTATGGAAACCAACATGGGCCCATGCAATATAAGAAAGCACCAGGGTAACACGTGCCACCCCGAAACACGTGCGAGAGTAACTCAGCGTTCCACGTTTATTCTGAATGCCAACAAAGGGGGTCATGCAGTATAAGAAACCACCCGGATGACACGTGCCACCCCGAAAACCGTGTGAGACAGAAACACTTGTTCACCTGTGTTCGGAGGTCCTGACATGGAACCACGCAATACGAGAAAACACGATGGTGGCACGCGTCATCCCTAAAACCGTGTAGCAAAAACCCATCGTGTCATTTGTATGCTAAAAGGGCCGATATGGTGGCATGCAATATAAAAAAGGCGCCAGGGTGACACATGTCATCCCGAAAACCGTGTGAAGCAAAAGCCAAGTATTCCACGTGTATTCTGAAGGCCAGCATGGGGTCATGCAACTTGGTTCCGCGAATGGTATGCAGCATCGGTCTGGGTAGTGCGTACATAGCTCCGTTAGGCTTCCCAAGAGAACGCGAAAATGGTGGCAATTCCAAAACTGGCCAGAACCTCGAACTCCCACAAACGCGCGCCTACACTGGAGCTCCTAGGAACCCACCACAGCGAAACCAATGTAAACGATGCGGGGGGGATACGCTGCGCGCGCCCCGCGACATCTGCCCGAATGCGACGATGAATGAACTTCCGAGGCTGGCAGCGCGGGGGCGACCCCGAATCAGCGTGCCGTTGGTTCACAATCGGCGCGACCGCACTCAGAGGACCTCGCTGAGCACCCGTCGCAGCAGCGCCACGGGCGCGGCGGTGAAATCAGAATCGTCCCTCGGAGCGAAATGAACCCCAAACCCGAAAGGACACGATGTGTACGCTTGACCAGGGCTGCGACCTCCCGGGGGCATGACGCGCCCAGAACGCCGCGGGCCAAGCCCATGACACCCTCAGAAATTACTGGACGCAAGGGCACCTTTGCGCCGAGAACTCAGGGGGCACGACACGCGACGCACAGGACACCACATTACCCGACAAATCAAATGCGATCTACGAATCAATTCGGGAAGTCCGACCGACGAATCATTTCCAGCGGTATGACATGCGAGCTAATAGCGTGTCGCTCCGCTCCGCGTGCGGGGACTTGGGAAAGCTCGGAACGTTGACGCCTGGAGTTCACGTGTCGCGCCGAAGAGTCAGAACTGACAGAACGACACGCTAAATCAAACGTCCAGAACAATTCTGCTCCAGCCTGCTCGACAAACGCACCCTCTTGCAAACCCGTTCTAACAGCCCCTCCCCGCCACCGCACCGCCTGGCAGCCCTTTTCCAGGCTCTGCGTCCCAATCTTCCATACGTTCCAAGGCGCTCCCAGACATCCCGAAACGCACCAATCGCTCCCGAAGTGTTCCCAAGCTCGCCGTCGCCACACAAAGCAGCAGCAGCAGCATCCACTCCGCATCTTCTCCGCTTCACTGCCCTCGTCGCCGCAAGAGGCGTCAAGGAACAGATGAGTCAGATCGCGCTGCCGCGTTCAGATTGTTGAGGAGGCCCATATCACGGGACGACCCCGATATCCAGGCGCCCCCCAAAAGCGCCCCGAGACGGACCAGAGGTGTGCGGAGGGTACAGAGGATGCAAGAACGCGTGGACGCGATAAGAAGATATGTCGATATTATGGGCAAAGCTTGATACGGGGGCGGGGGGGGTGATCTGGGCCGGGTGCGGCGGCGACCCGAACACCAGAACCCTAACCCCCGAAGACCCTGCCTATAATCCTGACAACATGCAGCTCTTTCGCCGCACCGCGGCCGGCCCCCGACTGGGCCCAAACCGACCCCAGGCCGCGATCCATTTTGCGATCCCCTGCGAAAAATGGACGCGGTGAACTGATCATAAGATCGATTCATCTTGAGCCGAAACTGCACTCACAATGGTATTGCGTGGGCATTTCTGATCTTCGCACTTACTCAAACGATACGACCCCCTGGAAACATGTGCGCATTTGTTGATGAAGTACTCACCATCCCCTGCAACACAATACCGCTCGGTGCACCTCAGCTGGTCTCCAGACCCATCCAACCGATCCAACGGTCTCCCGCACAAGAAACAACGATCTCGTGGACATCGGCTGACCTTCACAACCACCAGAAATTCACCATCCGAAAGAAAAATACACATCGGTGAAAACCCACTCGTCTTCACACCCATCCAATATCCACGATCCATGCAACAGAAACAAGTTGGTGGACACCCGCTGATATGCACAGCGCGCTCACAATCCTCCCAGACGTTCCCAGGCGCTCGCAGACGCTCCAGTCGCTCCCGAACGCTTCCAAAGTCGCAATCGCCAGCAGCTGCGCAGTTTCACCGTCCGTCGCCGCAGGAGGCGCCAAGAAGCAGATGAATCAGACCGCGCTGACGCGTGTACACTGCTGAGGAGGTCGACCTTATGAGAAGGGAAAGAAGCAAGACCCAGGCACGCCCCAAGATCGCCCCGAGACGGCCCAGATGTGCTGGGAGGGTGCAGAGGATGCAGACCGCGTGGACGCGATAATAGGCTAGGTCGATATTATGGGAAGGGTGTAGGGCACGGGGGAATGATCGAGCGTGTACTGTGTGACCCTAACATCCTAACCCTAGCATCCTCAACCTTGTCATAGACCCCCAACCCTACATCCCTAACCCTAAGCACTAATCCTGACACCCTAACCCGAACACCCAACGACACAATTGCATTGGGAGAAATCGGGGATCTCTGAGATCCCGCGGTTCTGGAGAGCGCATCGCGTTGCACAGCCGCTCCAGAGGGCTCCGGAACGCTATGGGAGCGTTCAAGAATGCGGGCGATTTATCCTGGTCATAGCCCCGCCCGATGGTGGTAAAGTTGCTGCGCCCCCACCCACTGTGGGAGACGAGTAACGATCGGGTGTCGGCCCAGCTGCCACACGGGGGCTTCGCAGGCAGGCTTCGGCCTGTCACTTGACCACCCGTGGTCTCCATTCCCCTCCCTGGGCTACGGCTGCGCCCTGTCGCTGCACTCCGTGGTGCTGCTCCGCTGATCTTGTAACGACGACGTCTAGCGTGAGGGTACGGCGACTTCGTCGCCTACCTCGTCGCCACGAGCATCTTGCTCTGAGCCGCTCTCGCCCTTCCTTTCTTGCCTTGCGGCTCGTGGGAAGGGAGAACATGGTCGGTTGAGTGGAGCTCGTTTCCCCTTACACCCCACCGTATGCCCAGCGATGCGCGGGCTGCAAGAGTCTGTGGTGGGCATTATATAGAATGTGCATGTGCATGTGTGTCCGTGCGCGCGCATCTCGTTCCGACAAAACACGCGGCTGCATCTTTATACGAACGCGTGGGCGTATACAAGTGTGCACATGAACACGTATGTGCACGGGTGCATGGACACGGCCACGTGTCCATGAGTATGGCCGCATGCATATGCAAATAATCCCTACCTACTGTGTATAAACAATGACGTGTCTCGCATGGACAAGCAAGTACGGGTGCCTGCAATCCCCTGTTGACGCACCCGCACGCGAGTAGTTGTGGGGACAAGCGAGACAGATCTCGGATGCGGACACGCTCGCACATGGGATCCCAACAGACGTACACCCATGCAGATCCAATGCGTACGCACGTGTGCGCATGTAATGGGTCGTCTACGTGATCATACCGAAATCCGGATCAATACGCATGTCTACACGCATATGCACAGATATGCCGATCTGTGTAAAGGGAGACGGGTGATACACATGCTCGGAGCTTACTTGGCTAGCCAAGACCCAACACTTCCCGAATGTTCGCGTTGCCATGGGAGCCAGGAGCTTGCTGTGCCCAGCTGTCATTGGCTGTGCCCTGTTGTTCCTGTTGCCTCTGGTTGAGGGGGATCCGCTTGATTTCGCAGGTTTCCGCATCATGAGACAGGTCGTGCAAGCCCAGCAAGCACGCCTCACAGAGGCAAAAGCCCGGGGCGCGCCTCCGCGGGCCGCGGCGGGCAACTCGCCTTGGTCATACTGGCTCGGGGGTCGCTGGGTTCAGGTGCTCTCCGCCGTTCCTGCGTGTTACTGCTTAAACCTGCCCGCCAGGTGTCTGCCTTAATTGGCGATGGCCTTTCGCTGCCTGTGCTTCACATGCTGGGGTTCTTCCCACTGCACATATACGAGCGCCTGTGGGCAGATCTATGTGCACGCGCGTGGATGTGCAACAGCAAGGTACCGGTGACGCTGCTCCCAGCCTCCCCTGGGGTGCGATCTGACCAAGATTCCGAGGCAAATCAGGCCCCCCAGGAGGCCCAACAGGGCGAAAGCGAGGGAAGGGCATCGGTGTCGAGATTCCTCCTCCTGCCGAAGCGGTGCGGACGATCCTGCGATCAGCGCACTGGATGGAACCTGAACTGGACCATGACTTGAGCAGACCTTCGAGGGGAACCCGGCCGTGGCGATGAGAAGGCCCCCCAGGACGCCAGGAAAGGCGAGAACACCGGAAGGCATCGCCATGTTGGATCGATGAGCAAAGAGACAGCATAAACATAAAGTGTCCCAGGTCCGCGCGGACTTCCAGGATCCGCACTGGACCCCACCCCCCTCGCTGGCGTGCGAAGCGTTCCAGGGGCGGTGCAGAAGGCGCCGCCAGAAGGGCCCGACGCAGCTACAAGAAATCTACGCGGACACTCGAGAGTTTTTATGTGTGTGTCGTGCTTCTCCTTCGAGTCGCCGTCTCGTCTCTTCTGAACACCTCGCCTGCGCATCCACGAAGCTGCACCGAGAGGAAAGGTTAACGGGGAACTGGCTCAGGGGGGTGAACATCGACCTGGAATCGGCGATACATCGCCGATGGATCGGCGGCAGGCCCCCGATAGCGGATCCACACGTCCCTGGGCGGGGCGAAGCTATCAGGCCCCCATCGGCGATGAGTGGGCAACAATTCCCCCTTGCACCTATCCGCCACTAGCGTTGCCCCTGACAGCGCCGCGCGCGGGCGAGCGGACGGCCTCGGGGTGCGGATTCCGGGGCACCGCGGACGAGTAGAAGGGGTCCGCCTGCAGAAAGGGCCCAAACGGCCTGAAGTGGGGTGCCCGCCTCCCGCTTCCCTGGGAGCAGGCGCAGAGGGACTGGAAGAAAAAGGGACAACGGCACGTGCATTTGTTTCCTTGGGTAGCGCCCTTAACCAGGTTGCTTAGGAATACCATCACTCGCCCTCCGTAAAAGATTCGCGGCCGCGTCCAAACCTCTCAGTTCCATCTCGTATGAGCTGCTTGTCCCATGATACAGAAATCCAGAATCGCTTGCGTTTTGCGCGCGTGCCGTGACGTTTGAAGGTCCGCTCGGTGTTCTTTGATCTTCGCTGGACCCCCCTGCCTGGCGTGCGGAGCGCGCGCTAGGGTCTACCCGCCCGATCTGCCCGTCTGGTTCTGCCACGTGTTTCTGCTCCTAGCACCCCTCATGCTACTCTCTCTCTTGCTCCATCCTCCTCCCTCCCCCTTGTCCCTTCCTTCCATCCGTCCTCTCTTCCCCTGCCTTAGGGGCTGCACGACATGCACGTTGCAGGTAAGAAAAATTTACCCCCTACAGGGGCACTACCGAAGACGAAGAGGCCGGGAATCGATGGTTTGGGATAGACGTGTTGAACGGAACGCGAGCAGATAAGTGTGAACAATCTTAGACTGGGGCCAGTGTCAGCGCAACCCCGAAACGCCTGAGCGCGAGCCTAATTTTCAAAAGAAATACAGCCAGCGCCGATAAGAAAGCGCCACTGCTAGGGTGTCCCACGAAAAGACTTTCCCCGTAATCAACATTCAACATGGACTAAGACATCCTCAGGGCCCCTGAGAGTCTTAATAAAAGACAAGGAAATATCGAACGGGGGCGTCGTTGCTTGCAGGGGGGCCCGCTTGCGGCGCCGAGGCGGGAGCGCCAGTCCTGAATCAACAAAGAAATATCGAGCGGGACCGCCGATTGTGTGGGAAAGCTGGCTGTCGGCGGCGAGCAAGAGCCCTGGTCCCGAGTAGAAGCGGAGGGAAGTATCGAGCGGGAACGTTGTTGTTGTTGTTGTTGCTGTTGTTGTTGTTGTTGGGGGGGGGGCGGTTTCGGCGCACCCCCGAAACGCCTGAGCGTGAGCCACATGTTCAAAAGAAATGCTGCCGGTGCCGAGTCGAAAGCGCCAGGGCGCCGCCAGGGAGCTCAAATATAACCATTGCTTAATGATTCAGATTCAACAACAACAACAACAGGAAAAACAGCAACAACCAGAAAACAGCAACAACAACAATAACAACAACAACAACAATAACAACAACAACAACAACAACAACAACAACAACAACAACAACAACAATTACTAGCACGTGGGGACACTCCGTTCTCACCAGTGCCAGGGTTTTCATAGGAGGCGGGCAATACCCCCACTTTGTGGGGGGGCCGGTTCAAGCTCTACCAAATTTCCAAACGACTCTTCGCCACCACCCACACCCAGCTTCCCGCCCTATGACGTTCGGACACTTCACTTCGTGGCATGCGGACGACCGTGGCTACTATTCAGGGCCCCGCGGCCGACGACGACGGCGTGCGCGCGCGAAGAAAAAACGAATGTGTCCCGCATGGTATTATTTGACAGGGATGATGGCCCTGGCAGGTGCGCAACCGTTGTCGCAGAAGTTCGAAAAAGTTGCTCGCAAAAGCCCGTTTGACAGAAATGTTTAAAAAGTGTTGGGTTTCCTACGAATCCGCAAGAGCGCGCGGGATGAGATTTTGACATTTTTTTGTTGAAAAACCATTGGTTTTTTGATGTTTTTATGTTAAAATCGCTGCGAACACTAAGGTTTTGGAAGGATTTCGTCTTGCGCGCGCGAATGTCCACTTTACCTTATTTTTTGCAAGGGATTCTTGAAATTTGATTATATTAGAACAAGAAATGTCATTTTCTATTGTTTTTTGCAAGGGAAAGCGGATTACAACAAAACAACCGGATCCTGTACACACCCTCTTTTCTGAGGCTTCCTCACGAAAATGATGAAAATGTAGCTGCGGCCTAGGCGGCGCAGGGGGGGCGCGCACCAGGGGGCCCAACAATAATTATTCTTTAGAATAAATAATGTTCAACAACAACAACAACACCAAGCACCACAACAACAACAATCATTTTAAGACGATTCGTTCTTACTGGCACGCGTGCTTTGAATTCCGTAGACCCCAACCTTCGGTACCCGCCCACTTCGTCTTCGACTGAACCCCAGTTCGGGGGGAATCTCTTCCTTGTCTGCCACTGACTGAAGTGCGAAGAAGTCTCGAGCGAGAGCGCCGTTCCTGAGTTCGGGGGCCTACGCGAGAGCGCGATTCTTGTAAAATTGTGAGGACGTCCTGCGCGAGAGCGCGCTGTGGGAATATATGGTCCCCGGCTCTGGGCCCACGGGCCCCCCCCCCCCAGATGGCATGGTTGCAGGATTCCTCGGCCCCCCCCCCCCCAGATGGTATGGTCCCAGAGACGACGACGACGACGACGACGACGACGACGACGACGACGACGGCGACGACTACGACGACGGCGACGACGACGACGACGACGACCACGACGACGACGACGGCTGTGGCGGCGACGACGCCGGCGGCGGCGGCGGCGACGACGACGATGACGACGATGACGAGGACGACGACGACGACGACGAGGACGACGACGACGACGACGAAGACGACGACGACGACGACGACGACGACGACGACGACGACGACGACGACGACGACGACGACTACGACGACGACGACGACGACGACGACGACGACGACGACCTCTGAACCACCACAGCACCACGCTACATCCACAGGGGGTGGGGAGGGGGGCACCGCAGAACCACCACAGCACCGCACCGCAGCACCACGCCACGCCCACAGGGGGGGGCGGGGGGGACCATCGCGCGGGGGGGGGGGAGGGGCCAATGGCATCAGCATTGGGAGGGGGGGGGGGGGGGCCCAAGCCCTAGACCATATATGGTGAGGAAGTATCAGGCGGGTGCCGCTGTCGTTGTTGTTCGGGGGACAACAACGCAGTTTGGTGCCACCCAGCTTTCCCTTGTAATAAAAAAGCGGGCCCCCGGAGAAGCACTCCGATCGAAACATACACTGGTTACTGGGCAGGATGGACCAACAGCAATTCTTACTTAGAAAACAAAACTCAAACAACAACAGCAACAACAACAACAATCATTATAAAACTGTTCGCTCTGACTTGCCCGTGTGTCATTCAAAACGAGTCCCCCGCACCCTCGATACCCGCCCTTGTTGTTTTCGATTACACACCCCTTGGGGGGATTAGTTCTCTTTGCGGGGGGGCGGCGGGCTTAGATAGGCGGGCAAATCTGAACGGGCGGACAATCCTTCGTGGGCGTACATGTGCCCGTTATTGGAATTGGTGCGGGCCTTGAAATAAGAGGAGGGGGAGAACGACGGAGAGTGGGAGGAAGGGAAGGGGAGGGACGAAGGAAGAGGGAAAACGCCAGGAGAGAAGGAGCGAAGAGGGGAGCGGTTGATTAGAAACCCAAAGAGAAAGAGAGAGAGAAAAAGAGACAAAAAAAACGAAAGAAACACATATAAGAGGGGTAAAGAAAAAAGAGATTGAGAGGAGAGAGAGAGAGAGGGACAACAAAAAAATGAGGGAGGGAGGAGGCAGGAAAAGGGAGGGATAAGGGAGGAGGGAGAGGAGGGAGAGGGGATAGGGCAGAGAGGCATCAGGATGAGGGAAGAGAGGAGGGAGACAAAAGGGAGGAGAGGAGGAAGGAGAAGAGGGAGAGAGAGGAGGAGCCGGAAGGTAAGAGCGTGAACGCTCGAGGAAGTCCTAGGCGAAAGCGCCGCTCCTGAAGGAAAGCTCGGGCGGGAGCCCACGATGGGCGGGCGATCCCCTGACGGGCGGGTCGGGCGGGTGGGACATTCAACCGGGATGCCTGGATATGGCGAGAACGCGATCACTAAGTAAATTGTAGCGGCGTCCTTGGCGCAGAATGTTTCCTGAGCGTCGAAAGCGCGATTTCTGAATAAATTGCATGGGCGTCACAGGCGAGAGAGCAAATCCTGAACAAAATGTGAGGGGCTCCCTGGCGGGAGCGGGGGTCTTGATTACATTGCGAGGACGTTTGGATTCAATTGAGAAGATGTTTCAAACGGGAGCGCCGTTCCGGAGAAATTTGTGAGGAAGTCTCAGATGGGAGCGGGGGCCTGACTAAATTGCGAGGGGGTCACAGGCGGGAGCACCGATCCTAAGTAAATTGTGAGGACGTCTCAGGAGCGGGGGTCCTCCGAAAATTTTGAGGAAGTCTCAGGCGGGAGCCATCCGGGGGGGCCAGGGGCCCAGTTTAAGCAGGAAGACTTCCCCTGACCAAAAAACAAGCAAAAAATATTTCTATAACAAAAAAAAGAGTGCGAGCGTCGAGGGGCGCACTTTGACTAAGAAAAAACAACACGCACCGGTGAGGGGGAATCAACAATACTTATTATTCAAAAATGACAGCTCAACAACAACAACTACTACTACAACAACAACAACAATCATGTTAAGACTGTTCGCTCTTATCTGCTCGCGTGTCATTCAACATGCATATCCCAAACCCTGGAGACCCGCCCTCTTCGTCTTCGATCGCACCCCCTTTGGGGGGATATATTCATTCCCTGCCACGTGTGGTTGGTGAAGCCCTTGAACACGAAGGGTAACAGATAACGGGGGAGAATGAGGACGAAGGGATCGGAGGAAGGGAAGGGAGGGGCAAGAAGGAGGGAGGACGATAATTTGCGCTGCGAGTGGCGATTCAGCTTGCGCCATGACTTGTGCCAGCCACTCCAACACAGGTCAACAATAAGTTTCGCCATGGGGCGCGCCATAAACAGCGCCACGCACCACCCCCTTGAAAGAACATAGCGTGGATACCCCCCACGGGGGGACGTACAGCTGCAAAAGGGTGTCAGAAACAAGTTTCGTGGAACCCTGAGAACAAGCGGGATGTTGGGAGAGTGGGGCCACGAAGGGTATACATATGGGACCACGACGGGCGCGAACGAGCGGGGGCCACGAAGAGTGCAGA